AATAGTATAGATACTCTTTTTGTTTCTACTAAATAAGTAATAAGAACTAAGTTGACATTTACTTGCCCAAACGACATGAAACTATGTTTAGGTCTCATTTGAGAAATATGGGCCGATTAACTTGTTGGTACTGTCCTCCTATAGAATTAGTTGGGTTTCAGCGCGTATACCCTTCGATTAATAAAAACATATGTGAACTGCGCAAAATTAAAGCTTAATAACACTAAATTTATCTTTTGAAATTAAGTTTAATTTTTTTGATGATATAGTTTTAGATAATTTCACTTTTAGTTATTAAAATAATAAATAAAAATTAAATATATATATATATATATATATATATTTATATTTTAATAACTTATTTTACAAAAATATAACTTGTCACATTATGCTCATTATTATGTATACATTAAAGTTAATTAGTTATAGTATTTATACCTATTTTAATTTTAAAAATCATAAACACATTCCAAATATATTAAATAGAATTAATCATAAAATAAATTTTTTGACTGAGAATATAAATATATTATTTTACAGTAAACTTTTTAATACATCCTATCTAATAAAATGTTCTATCTTCATTTTTTTATTTAAGTACTTAGTTTTGTTATATTTTCATTATATTTCATTTATTTTAAATAAATATAGCGATTATATAAAATTTTATGTAGTAAACAATACCTTGACTGTACTTTAATGTTTAAACTTCTGTATATTTATTTTCTGATGTGAACACTTTAGACGAAGAGAAAACTAGATAAATTGTGTATAAAAGAAGTATAAGTTATTTTGGCTTAAATCATGTATATTTACATCTTTTGTTTTTAAAATTCTTGTAAATAAATATTATTTTCTCTTTGGAATTTAATTAAGGAGAACAAACAAAAATAAATCATATTTAAATATTTTTTTTTTCTGTTAAATGATAACTAGCTTTTACATCAGCTTTAGAAAATAACTTCTATTGTGAAAATGATATCTATAGAAACTTATATCTTAAAACAGATAAAACAATAAATGAACATATAAACCAATTGGGGAGTTGGCAAATTAAAACTTAAGAGATGTAATATTTTTAAAACAAATACAAGGGAGTTATTTTCAAAAATACATACTTAGTAATTATATCAGTGACTACAAATCAAGTATGTCATGGAACAACAAAACATCCATCAATCAAAGTTCATTTAATCAAAGACCTGTTTAAAAAAAGTAAAGATTTAGTTATTCTGGAGTATCATAACATCAATACTATTAAAAATGAAGGAATCCTACAAAATCTACTTATAAAAAGTTATTAGACCTATTCACTAACCATATCTTATATGTTACCTTAATTCATTAACTCCACTTAATTTGGTTAATATTTATATTTATACCAAACTAAGATTTCGTTTATCACATAATAATGTACAAGTGCCTATCATTATACACCCGACATTTTTGCATCTAACATACCCTTTTACAACTCTCAATATTCTGAGTGCATTAGTATTGCATCAATGGACTGTGACAATAACTGAAGTGTTAAAGGTGGAGAAGATAAGTAATGTGGGTTTTTATAAAAGTTCATAACTTTTTATAAAAAAATTTAAATGTATATGAGTTTTTTAGAAAATTATAGAACATGTTTAATTTTGTTACAGGTTGTAGTTAATACAATGTTTGGATTGTCTGAGGAATACATACATTTTGTGACCCCAACACATCGTGATGATGTTGACTTAAAAAATAAACGCGATTGAGAACAATGATTTGTGAACTTTTTAGTTGCAACAGAAGATAGGTCAACAACACAGAACAAAAGACAAAGATGTAGAGCATGGTAAAGATTTGGACCATGAGAAAGCTGAAGAACAAAAGAAAGATGAAGAGTATCAAAAAGGTAAGGAGGAAAAAAATGAGAAGTATATGAAAGATAAGGAGTAGAGAAAAGATGAAGATCATTCTATGTATAACAGTGAGAAACTTGATAAGCTAATCCAAATAATTCAAAATTTGGATAAGCGAGTAAAAGTGATCCAGAATGTTTTAGAGGTTAAAGTAAGCAATTATTTTACCAAGTACTTAAAAAGTTCATATATTATTTTCTCTAACGATTTTATATGTTTTTTTTTGGAAGTTCTCTGTTGGTTCACCCAATAAAGAAATTTATGAGAATGGTGTTAATCCTGGTGATAGAACAAGTGCACCAGATGATGAAAATGAAGAAGCAAATTTTGGTGATAGAATAAGTACACCAAATGATGCAAATGAAAAAGTTACAATTGAAGAAGAAGCAAATTCTGGTGATAGAACAAGTGGATCAGATGATGAAAATGAAGAAGAGATATGTGATGAAGAAGAAAATTCTGATATATAGCATCTACCAGAAAAAGAAAATATTCTTGAAGAAAATGAGACTACAAAGAAAATTATTTAAAATGAAGACACATAAAAAGTTGAAGAAGAAAACTGCATGAAACAAAAATCACATGTATAAATCTAAAATATGATATAAGGGTTTATATTATTTTTTATTTAATACTTGACAAGTTTAATTTCTTATCTTTTGTAAGTTACGTCGTCTACTCCGACATATTCCAAACATTGATACAAGGGTACAAAACTACTCCAACATTCATTACTCCAAACATTTATACAAGGGTACATATAAATTTAAAATATTTTATATGTATTTGTAAAGTTTAATGTATAAATCTTAAACATCTAGTTTAACATAAACTTTATTTTAAATAATTTATTTGCAGGTTACATCGCCTATTCCAACATTTACTACTCTTAAGTTTGATCTTCTTTCCCAAGAATGCACCTTTTATTGGAGAAAAACTTATCGACATAATCGTTTTCATTATTATTTCTAGCTTTTGCAGCAGCAGCATGAGCACAAGAAAACTTCTCAACATCAAACACAGAGCATGAACAATATCTTGTTTGGAAATTCACACTTGATCTTGTATCTCCCTTAACCTCAAACTCTGAATCATTGATTTTGGAAACTTCGAGCCAGTACAATTTAAGATCATATAGCTCCTTCATTTTCCCCCCACTTTGTCAGCTTTGTCAAAATATCGCCAAAGAAACTGTTGGCACCAACGAATCTCCTCGGATTTGATCACCATCGAGAATTAAAATTTTTATAGATCTGAGATTTGAAGAAATTGTGGGAAAAAAACATTTTTAGGTTTAATTAGTAAGGAATATAATGATATTTTGTCTATTAAAAATTTAATGGTAAACTTAGGTGAAGTTATAAGTGAAATAGGATACAAAGAAAGTATTAGATTAGGCAAATTCTCAAAACACGAAGACCATAGGCTATGGTTGCTTGGACTTCAATTTGAACGCTTAGTTTGACTCAATTAATTTGGTTTATGTTCGTACAGTTTGTACAAATTTTGTTAAACTGGACCAGAAATTTTGATTTGGTTCAATTTAAATATTCTACCAAATTTTATCAAATAATTTTGATTTTAAATTTGTTTAAATTTGATCATTTCAGGTATGCTGGTTAAAATATTAGATTACAATTGAAGTAAAGCAAGATTATATTTTGAAAATTTTGGATTCTGTCCCTGCACTTTAATTTAATTACAATTACATCCTATTTATTTATTTCTGCATAGTAAACTAAATTAACATTTCCTAAAAAATTATAACTTAATAAAAGAGTATTCTTAAATAAAATCTGACTGAATTATTCATTAGTCATAAAATCTCTCAGCAATAGATTTATAGATTTATTCATTAATTAAACAAATGGGTAACAATTCACACAAGAAATCAAAATATCACATCTACATATAAAAATATATATATATTGTTATCAACAGAAAAAAATGGGTCTTATATTCGTTTACTTAAACAAAACATTTGTTACTGGTGTATAATCATTATTTATGTTATGAATAATAACATCATAAAACCAAATTTTTATCTATGTAAATGATAGTCACTTTATCTTATTAAAGTATGCTTTCTAAGAATTGAAAAAAAAAAATATTTTTAAGAATAATTTTTCATTTTTCATGTCTAATAATTAGTTACAGATAAACTATATATACATAAATGTTATATATTATTTTTATTTGTATTATATTTCATTTTACTCAATTAGCTGAATTATTTGAAATTGAAGAAGTATTTACTATTTGATTACTAGGACCCTTGAATATTTCTATATTCATTCGGATTATATTTTAATTATTATAAATAAAATAATGAAAAGAGCTTCCTGCATATTAATTCCAAGATTACATTTCAATAAAAATATTTAAAATAGTTTGTTTTTAATATATATATATATTGTTATATTCTTTTTTTATAAAAATTAAGTAAATTTGTGATTTTGAAAAGTACAAGACGCACTGAACCAACCTTTAACATAATTTTCAATATAATTTTTTTTAAAGTTGATTGAGAAGAAAGTCTAAAAACCATAAATTATCTTATATGAATTTAAATTATTAAAATAAAATCACTGTTAATTATTTTAAATAAATAAACTACTTATAATATATGTATGAATAATTGCAAAATTTTCTATTTTTCACATAAGAAAATAAGCACAAAAAATTATACATATATTTTTATAATTATATAAAATTTAAAATAAATAAATTATAATTTTTGTTATATAAGATATTAAACTAAAAGTTAATCTCGCGCTTTTAAAGCTCGGATCAAAATCTAGTAATTTGGTTATGCTATATGTCCGATTATATATATATGATTTGGTTTTCCGAATGTTGTCGTAAAAAAAAATTAACATTCAGATAAAAATATAATTATTTCAACTAAACCACTAACCAGATTGTTTATATTCTAGCGAATCGAACCAAACTCACAACCGGGCAAATAACCGATCTTCTAAAACTTGCAGAACTGAACCAAACTCTTAACTGAGGCTGAACCGAAAACTGATATTTGTTTGGTTAACTTTCATAGACCTAGGAGAATCTTGTATTCGTGGACCTCATTGTACGTACATTTCTTAAGAGCAAATTTTTTTTCCGTAACGTTCTGTTGTTTAGATGAGGGAACAAGGAAACATATGCTGCAGCAATATACAATATATAATCAAGGGAAACATGACAGAAAGTAACAAAATAAACAACAAGCGTTTATTCGCCAAATAATTGACTAATACCAGAATGTTGACCACTTGTCCTTTTTGAAAAATCTTCTTCATGATTCTACCAACGTTGTCCTCTGTTTTATTGTCCCCTCAATGATTTGGTTGTAACTTAACTGAAACATTCACAATACTCTGCACTTAGTCTGCTTGTTCGATGCAGATAGATAACAGTATCTTCCCTGCAAGCCATAGAAAAGAAGCAATCTTTACTCAGATACTCTGTTTGATTTACCTTCGAACCGGTGGCGTAATCAAAAGCAAATATTATCTCCTTGTTCTCTCACGTAACAACAGAGTAAACGACAGTAAAGGTAACTGTAACAGACTTTCACTGAACAGAGTAAACTGACACTGAGACTTTAAGAACCTTGTTAAAGATATAATGTATAATTATATTACCAATATAGTTAAACAACCTACTTTCAAACATAAGTGTTCATATGTATATAGCTTATCGAATCTAGTATATACATAATACATCAGTGTTCACAGACTTTCATACATCAGTGTTCATATGCACATAGCTCATCAAATTCATTACTTTCATACATCAGTGTTCATATGCATATAGTTAAACAATATAGTTTACTGTTCATGTGCATATAGCATATAAAATTAATTCCTTTTCAAAGCAACACAACTTAAAAAAAGAAACAGAACCTGCACAAAGAAGAAAGCCGATTAGACCAATCATGGCATTCACAATAGCTTACAAGAACAGTTTGCATGACACTAAAGGAAAGACACATACAAAAAAACTCGGTTTAAAAGATCTCAGGTCACAAGCATACCAACATAGTTAAACAACATATTGCCATTAAATCAATGCTGGTTCCCTTAAGAAATAACTATCCATTTTCGTATAAGTAATTGAGTTCATTCCTTTTGAAGCAATACAAAAGAAACATGACTTGCAAAAAGAAGAAAAAAAATCGATAAACCTCAAGCTTTAGAGAATACCAATCAGTCAGCCAATCCTTGTCCTTTCGCCTTCTTCACCCATTTCAAACTAGTTTCAAGCGTGGCATACGCAGAAGCATCACTCAAACTTTTACTACCAACCGCATAATCAAAAACCTCATAAGCCTCTGCAACCTTCCCACTTCTAACAAGAGCCCTCACAAGCGTAGCATAAGCATAACTCTCAAGCTTCAACCCCTTCGACTTCATCATCTCATAAAACTCAACCCCTTTCTCCATCAAACTCCCCTTGCACAACCCATAAAGCAAAGTATTATAAGTACAATCATTCGGAGCACACCCTCTCCCTTCCATCTCCTCCAACAAACTCAAAGCACCTAAACTCGCTCCTTTCCTACACATCCCATTCATCAACGCCGTGTAAGCAACAGCATCAGGCTCATACCCTGCCTCATCCATAACCTCCAAATACTTCTTAGCTTCCTCAATCCTCCCTGATTTCGACAACCCGAATATCAAAGTATTGTAACTAATCCGATCCGGCTCAACGCCGTTCTCCTTCATCTTCTTGAAAACACCAACAGCTTCACTCCCTTTGCTCAAAGTACAAAAGCCTTTCATAATAGTGTTGTACACAAAGCAATCAGGCTTAAATCCGTCAACACTGAGATCAGTAACTAGCCTCATGGCCTCCCTTAGATTCTTGGAGTTGCAGACATGATCAATCAAGATAGTGTAGCTAACAAGATCAGGCTTGACATCAAACAACTTCTTCATCTTATCCCTAAAATCGTAAACAGAATTCAAAGATTCGTATCTGCATAACTGCTTGAGGAGGTAGTTATAAGTGAAGATATCGGGAGGAGAGTGTTTCTCGGAGAGCTCCATGACTAAATCCTTGGCGTCACTGATTCGATCGGATTCGCAGAGAGATCGCACGGCGATGTCGGTTGTGACGTTGTTAGGGGGGACGTGGTTGTTGACCATGAGGTTGAGGACGCGGTGGACGTTGGAGAGAGGGGAATCGGGGGATCGGCAGGCGTGGGAGAGGAGGATGTTGAAAGTGGTTGGCTCAGGGGAGAAATCGGGATGGGATTTGAGGATGTGGTGGAAGAGTTTGACGGTGTCGTCGACGGTGGCGATGGAGGCGTAGGATTGGAGGACGGAGTTGTGGAATTTGAGGTCGAGGGGGGTTTTTGAGGTGGCGGCGATTGAGTTGAGGAGGGATTTCGCGGAGGAGAGGTTTGGGGATTTGAATGGGTTTCGAGTGGTTTGGGGAGGAGGTTTTGGGGTGTCTTTTGTGGAGATTCTGTTTCGGGGATTTTGCGGCGGGGGTGGAGATGGAGGAGATGCGGTTGGTTTTTTGATGAGTTGGGTTGAGGTTAGAGAGCGAAACGACGACGGAATCTTCCCCATTTTTGGTTTACGATCGCCGGAAGGTTTTAGGGTTTTGGAAGGGGTTGAGAAGAAGACGAATGGTGGTGGTAGTCACACTCGCGCTCTACTGCGTATTTTTATTGTTGGGCCTGTTGGGCTTTTACAGTCGCTTTTTACAGTATGTCTATTGTTATCTGATTTGCTTACATTTGCATAAATTCAAAAAAAAAACTGTTATGTTTGTTTTGATAGAACCAAAACATTAAACATGATAGCTCGGAGAAACCTATACATGATGATGATCTACTAAAAGAGAAAAAATAAGGAGGCCCTTGTAGATTTAAGATTAAGAGTCTATGGGTTCACTATACGTGTACATTTCTTCCTCGAACTCTACTACTCTAGTAGTAACTTTCAGGTTTTGGCGTTGGATTCAGATTAGTTCTACTTCTAAATGTTCTATATATATAAATATCTGAATTTTTCTGGGTAACATTATGTCCAAGGATCCGAATCTTTAACTTTGAAAACTTTTGGACCCATTAACCATTAATGTACCAAGAGAGTTTTCGACCAGTTTGTTAGGATCGGTTACGATTCAGATTGTTTGGTTTGGGTGGTCGGCCCAAATTCAGTGCGCATCTAGGGTTTCTCTTTTTTCTTTATTTTTTTTTTGATAGTCTAGATATCTGCATATCTCACTTAGTCCGACTATTCTACCGCGTCCAATCGGAATTGGCGAGGAAGGTCCTGAGACCAAACGGAAACCATGTTAAATCCGCTGTGACCGGGCCTCGAACTCGTGATGGCGGACACCTCAGCCAAGGTTCCTTTACCACCAGAATACGAGACCCGGTTCTTTTCTTTACTTTTTGCGCAAGGTTGGTGCAAATTCCCTAAAAACAACAATTTCCGAAAGCTAAATGTTGCAGATATTCTCAAAAAAAACTCAATGATCTTGTCAGTTTTCTCAATAAAACCATACAAGGCATTAATTCATTCATTTTCAGACCAGATCAAGCAAGATTAACAAAAGGTTTTGTAATATTGAATAGCAAATCTTGTCTGAATCCGAAGTTCTGAAAAAGAACCACGTTCAAGGAGCTTGGTGATGGATCACCACAAAACAATTATTATGTTTCAACATTCTCATTCCGCCAAGTGTTTCCATTCTTCAATTAGAAATTTGGAGCTACAAGTTTTGTTGATTATGTAATATACACAATGCAGAACTGATTCATCATAAGAAAACTTCTCTGACAAAAAGTTGTCAAATGCTCAAAGCTAGTTTCTTTCTTAGGATGACAATAGACGCAAGAAAAAAGAAATCAAGAAAAGGTGAAACAGAGCCATTTCTTAACCGCTGGTTTATCACCGTCTTGTTTCCTCTGAGAATTCGTTTTCGTCGAACTCCTTCCTGTCTTCTTATCTTCACCGGCTTTGCTGAATATCACCGTGTATCCATCCGCGGTTGCCGGATCATTCACATCCCAATCCCCAAATTTTGGCAACGGCCTTCCAGCGTCGTTTGATGCCATTTTCGATCAAGAAATTAATCTCTCAGACGAAAACAAAACAAAATATTTTCTTCTTCTTCTTGTATAAACTGATGATATTGTTTAGAGGGTCTGGCCCCCCGATGCAGATTTATAATGGAGAAACTGAATAAAAAGAAAGAAGAAAACAGATGTTTATGATTATCTTTGAAATCTTCCAGACGCGGTAGAATATTCTATTGCCATTCTTCTTTTAAAATCTTTCTGAGGTATATAATCGTTTGCCTTTCCGCGTAAGAAATCTAATTATAGCAAAACCATATCCATGGCTGATCTGTTTCTTCATTTTCACGCGGTAGTTTATAGTTCTCTGATCTTTTCTGTCTCTTATATATATAGACACCAGAAACTCACCAAATGAGAAAAAGCTGATCAGCACATTTTCATACATCTGCTTTAGTTGAGTCATCCGGTAAGAGTGACATTAGATACAACCTTATCAGCTACTAAACCGGGCAAGGAAGTGCCAATCCTGTAGCTGCCAATTCATCAACACAAGGTCTAAGAGAAAATATAAAGTCAAAAACAGTTTTAGGACGTACACAAAACACATGAATACTAGGATAAGACATGCGCCTTTCGCAGGGTGAATATACATAATTAAAATATAAAATTTTAGTATTGACACATTTAAAAATTACATATGATTGTTTTTATAAATATTTGAAATTTTAGAATTTTGGAATTTTTATATAATTATCTATAAGTAGGATAAAAAAATTGTAATTAGAACTGTAGATCAAATCTTAGAATTTAATGAACCCAATTTCATATATCTTTCATTTTTCAGTGTTCGAGTGATGGAAAATATATGAAGTGTCACTGGACTTGATTGGTAGAGTATTAGCAAGTTCCCTAATATTTTTTTAAGAAGCAGTTGGTAAAATATTTGCATTTAAAATATATACAGTTTCAAAACTAATTTAATATAATTTATTTATTTGTCTAATAATATATTTTTTTTTACAGTTTGTTTTTTAAAATAATTTTATAAAAACTAAGTTAAATTTTAAATTATTTTTAAAAACAATATTTTAAGTTTTTCAAATACAAATAAACAATTTAAACTTAATTATGGTCATGATTTAACAAAACCATAATGATTTAAAAAATTAAAAATTAAAATTATAAATTAACTCAGTTTTATATCATGATTTGACCATTTAAAAATTAATTATGGTTATGAGAAGTTTAAGTTCACGTGTCAATCCTATTTATCTTCATTTTTTTATCTTGTTGTGTTTTTTATATTTTGGTTATTACTCGATATAAATATTTATTTTTAAGTTTATTCTCATTTCGTTTTCAAATGGCATATTTTAGATTTTTTTCGCACATACTAATAAAGTATATTAAATTATATTCTAAATGAATCATTTTTTATTATTAAATAGTTTCACAAATTTTAGCTAATGAAAATTTAGTAAACACAATTAAACTTTTAACATTTACTAACTACAACTATCAACTAATAAAAAAATACTCTGAAAATTTAAAAATGTATCTTTGAATTTGTTTTTTAAAATATGGATCATTTTAAAAGAAAAACAGTAATATACTGTAGTATGTCTAAATATCAATTTCCAAATATTTGATAAATTGAAAATTTTAGTTGAAATTTTATATAACTATCTTTGTATTTTTTTTCTTACTGATAACATGTTATATTTTTATTATGTTTAAAAGAAATATATTATAATTATAAATTATTTTATTTATTAATTTAATCTATAATTTTAAATAAAAAATTAAAATCTAATTCACCATTTAAGTTTTTCAAAAAACGAAAAATCTACAGAAAAAAACAAAACCAAAAACTAAAACCAAACAAACAATCAACACCTATATTTCTTGAACCTAAACTACACTCAAATCGAAACTAAACCGAAAATCAAAAAATATAAATCTGCAAGCGAACAAAACTAAACATCTATACCTAAATATTTTAGTGAATAAACATATATCTTAATAAATTTGTAAATAAAAAAATAAGCTCGTGCTTGCATAGCTTGGATCAAAATCTAGTAATTATTAAGTAATAGGTCCAAACTATATTTTTTTCTTCCTGCTTATATTTTTTTCCGGGCCAGATCTGATTGACGCCATGAGTCATCTTACCCGATCACCATGAGACTGGTGACGAAGGTTGCACTCGCCATGAGAGTGTAATTGAAGTCAAGCTCAAAGCTAGCCTTGTAATCGTTGGTAGCTGTTATTGTAATCCCTTTCTGATAAATTAATAAAGGAGTTAGAGAGATATCTATACTCTATCACTTTCTTATTCTGCACTCTCTGGTGCTTTAGTTGATCATTTGGATCATGGAATTGGAGTGGTCATAGGTAAGACCGCTGTAATAGGAAACTGTGTCTAGATCTTGCATGTAAGCATCTCTTTTCCAAACCATTCCTTCAAACTCAATTCCAACATCAAGATTTAATTTTTAAGATGCTACTCGTTATGTAGCTGATGGGTTAGAATGCAGCAATAACTAACAGTGCTGACACAAACGCAATGAACTCCCTGACATGAAGATTCTGTAATAACAGTTTAGCTGGATTTTGAACTTCAATTTGCCATTTTTACGTTTCTTTAAAACAGGACCATCTGTCTCATCAGGAGATACAGAGAAAAGACAAACTAACTAACTGAACAACATGATATCCTTGTATGCTATCATCATTAAAAGCTCATTTAAGCGTTTTCTCAATAAGTTGTTTACTCAAAGATTTTGATAAGTTTTCAGTTCTTCAGTCTCGGACAAACGAGACTAACGTAAAAAGTTTAATAAACTCTTGCTTGAACATCTAGCATAAGCTAAAAGATTATTACCCAAACAATTTCGCACACAATAAGAATTCGAAAAACAGGAACATGAAACAAAAACTCAAACCATAAGCATTCAAAGCTTATACTCACTCAACAACAAAGAAGAACTGAAATCAAGCATGCCTTGCCTGGAACTCTTTCATGAAAGCAACGAGCTTTTCAACACCAGCCAGAGGCATTGCATTGTAAATAGAAGCCCTCATACCACCCACTGATCTATGCCCCTTGAGCTGCACCATATTCTCCTTAGCAGCTTCCTTAATAAACTCGGCTTCCAACTCCGATTTCTCCAACGTGAAAGGAACATTCATCAAAGACCTCACAGACTTCTCCACAGGACACCTGAAAAACCCTCTGCTCTCATCAATAGCGTTGTAAAGCAACTCAGCTTTCCTCTGGTTCTTCTTCTCCACTTCCTTCAACCCACCCTGCGCCAACAGATCCTCAAACACGAGACCACACATGTAAATCCCGAAACAAGGAGGAGTGTTGTACAAGGAACTGTTCTCATCATGAATCTTGTAATCAAGCATCACAGGGGTAATATCACGAGAGTTTCCAATCAAATCTTTTCTTATAATCACAATGGTAACACCAGAAGGACCAACATTCTTCTGCGCACCGGCGTAAATCACACCAAATCTGGACACATCCACAGGCTTCGAACAGAAATTGGAAGACATATCGGCAACCAAGACACCATTTGGATTCTTAGGAACAGGGTAGTCTTTAAACTCAACTCCATGGATAGTCTCATTGGCGCATATATGCAAATACCTTGCGTCCGCTCTCTGCTCAAACTCAGACCCATCAAAGGACGGGACTTTAGTGTACTTCTCGGCCTTTCCCGACCAAACAACTTTAGGGTTACAATACTTTTGCGCCTCTTTGAAGGCCTTGTCTCCCCAAGATCCGGTGACGACGTAATCAGCATGATCGTCGGGCTTGCAGAGGTTGAGAGGGAGGGCGGCGAACTGGGTGGTGGCGCCGCCTTGGAGGAAGAGGACGGAGTAATCGGAGGGGATCTGGAGGAGCTGACGGAGATCCGATTCGGCTTTTTGGATGATTGAGAGGAACTCTTTGCCGCGGTGGCTCATCTCCATGACGCTCATGCCGGATCCGCGCCAGTTGTAGAGGTCGGATTGGGCTTTGAGGAGGACGTTTTCGGGGAGAGCGGCGGGACCCGCGGCGAAGTTGGTGACTCGCGGGTTGGATTCGGTGGTGCATTTGATGGAGAAGGGTTTGGTTTTTGTGGAGGTGAGGGTGAGGGTGGGAGGTTTGGTGAGGTGGAGGAAGGATTGGGATTTGGAGGAAGGGATCTGGGTTTGGTTTCGGATGAGGAAGGAGTTTGTTGATGATGATGATGTCATTGTTGTCGAGTCTCGGACCTTTTTGGTTTTTGTGAAGGAGTGTGTAGGAGGAAAGTGTAGTTACGGCCAAAAAGGTATCTGAAAAATGGTGGAAGTGTGGAAAGGGAGTTGGTGGGAGAGGGAGATCTTATACAGGTGGAAGTTAACAGAATTGAATACGGTGACGTTTTTGGTAGGTAGCTTGGTTTTGGAAAAATTTGTCGGCTACGAGTTGGCATTTATAAATCCCCCAATCGGATTGAGAAAAACATGAATCCAATCTGAACTAGTTGGGGAGGCTTTTAAGTTTTTATACCAGATTTTTTTTGTTAATTCGAATATTTTTCAGTAGCTTTGATAACTTTTACTATGAAATAATCTTATTTTTCTTCATTTGAAAAGAGGTGAATTGATAGACATAATTTATTTTGACACCTCAATTGATGTCAGCATACCCGCACATACACTTCCATACGAAAATCGGGTAGATCATTTACATATCTTTTGAACACAACATAACACAACATAGGTTGGCTAAAAGATTTCCAAAACACACCAAAAAAGCCAGAACTTTCAAATAAATGAAAGAATATATTTGGAATCGGATGCGCTTGCCCAACAAGAAAGGCTCTAAGCCTCTAACCCTGTCAACCAATAAAAGAGAACAAATACTTCCAAATATTTTAGCTATTTTTTTGACAAAAGTTAGGCCATTTCGGATATCAGGTTTAACTGCGATCCAAACACTGAACACGAAAAAAGTAATTATGGTTAAAAGTTTAAAGTATCTGGATGAAATTTAGGAATATAGTCCAGTAATCCGAAAATCCAACCGACATAAAACGAACATCCAATCGAACCACTCCTAATAGAACCCCAATCAGTTTTTCATTTAATGAATATCTAAGACTTAAGGGTAGTTATGTTCAGGTTTAGTTTTCACAGCCCAACACGCACGGAGCGGCAAGACATCCACAATTTGCGTTTCACAAAAATCGAATTGATGAAATATCTTTTGATCATTGTTGGTCGAACAAATCAATCTGCTAATATGTATTTTTTGTCCTTTGCTCAACAGAAAGAGTAACACTCGAGCAAAAGAATGATTTGCATCATCATCATTCACTGCTCAGAACAGATTACAATTATAGCGACTAACAAAAAAGGGAACAGATTCATCAATCAATCAATCTTCAGACAATTTGAACTTTTGTCTCTTTTCTTGTGTGTTACTTCTACCTCAAAGGAAATGAATAACTATGACAACAGGAACTGTACAAAACTAGTTATTGGTTGTCATTTTGGCTCATCAGGCAGACACAAGAAAGTCTGCAGCTTCACACTTTGCTATGTACCCAAATTTTGATGTGCTGTACTTCCTATAGACTCCTGTCAAGTTCCCTGTCGCCGCCTTTTGATGAAGACTCACCATCTTCCTACAACATTCCCTGCAAAACCCATGATGACAAATTCGTTAAAAAAATACCCTTTTGTGTTTGCAAATGAAAAGGATCAGTGTTTAATCTTACATGAGCTGATCTTCAGAGTAATGAGAATGGAATTCACATGTACTACTCCAATGCCTGAAACCACCAATTGTACATTGAGCAGTGTACACAGCTGCGGCAGCTAGTAACGACATTGGAAACCGAAGCATCTCGTACTCCACAAGTGCAAGCTCGATCAAGAACGATGCCAACATCTCACACTGTTTTTGTTTCACTTTCACCATTAGTTCCTTTCTAAACCAAAAAAAAAAAAATGAAACATGATCCATTGTTTTTCTCAACTTACTTTCTTGTCTGCTTGAGCTGCCTTAAGGAATCTTTTCAAGAACGGGTATTGCGTAGGCAACGAGACATTGAATTGCAAAGTGCTCAACATTGTTTTCTCCTGCACATAGAACCATTTAATCAGAGAAATGTCTTTTTTAAGTAATAAATGAGACAAGATTAAACAGCACTTTACCATGTCCAGAACATCACTCCTCGTATAAGCCTTGTCTGAAATAAGTACTAAATCTTCGACAACAGGAACTGAAACCTCTTCATACTTGCAGGCCAAGAGCAAAGCCACCAACCCTACAAGCTGAAGCTTCTTTCTCATAACACCTTTCTTGGACAAGAATCTATCTATCAGATTCACTGTCAGAAACAGTGTCTCGTTCATCAGATCAAACTTGTCATGCACCTCTATTAACCAGTCGATTAGTATAGCTCTCATCTTCTCGTTTAAGTCGATTTGTTGCGTCATATAATCTGCTGGGACACAGCTAAACCTCTGCAAATTCGAATCAATAATTGTTTTTAAGGCAAACTAAAACCTCTTGTTGCGTCAAAGACACGTAAAAAAGTAAATAAATTTTCACCTCCTTCTTGCGGTAAAATGAGTATAGATCTTGGACATACTCAACAGCTGCAAGTGGGTTCTTGGCATCAGAGACATCTATATCCAAGATTGGCTCTTCCACTATTACTACATCCTCCTCCTGGCAAATTCAGCACCATGTAAGTCTTTTTTAATTCGATTTTCATTCAAAGCTGTAAGATAGTTGATTATGTTTACCATTGGATCAGCTTCAGTGTATGGCTTCTCCAGAGACATTGGCATCGGATGGTCCAATGTAGCTTCTTCTTCTTCTTCATCAACGAATATACAGTTACCGAAATCGTTTCCACTTGGAACTGATGGCTTCAGCTTCTTTGCCTCGTCTTGATACAACGGCTCTTCAACTCGAGATCTGTAAGATCAAAACAATCTTTCACAATCAAATCAAAGCAAAATACAGAGAGAGACAGAGAGAGAGATTGCAAGATTCAGTCTTTAGATATACCTTGTAACTGTGGATCTCTCACACTTCTTCTTGTGGCATCCTTCTTCTTCTTGCCTACAGATTCATATCATCCAAAACCCATAAGAGCACAGTAACAAAAATACACTATCTTTAGAGAGGTTTATTTGAATTTACTTAGATAAGTTGCCTCTCTTGTTGACAACACAGGGGTGGCCTCTTGCACCAACAAGATTCTGATTAATCACACCCAAAACTCTTCTCTTCTCTCTCTTCACCTCTTGTCCGAATTTTCTACTTGTCGTTTCATCTAAACACACAACATATGTCAGAATCTCTCCATTGCTAAGACCTCTAACTCTCATATGACAAAAACTCTATTACCTTGAAGAATCGACGTTGTAGTGGGATCAACGACGATGTTGTTCTCACGGGAATTAACCATTATTGTTAGTTGTGATTCTTCGAAGAGAAAACCCACCAGAGAGAGAGAGACTTAGAAGAAGAGCATTAAACGAAAGAGAATCTTATATAGTCTGATACAGTCGAATCTGACCAAGGGAATGATATAGGCAAGTGACTATGAATGAGGAAGATAATACAATATAGAAAAAAAGGTGTAATTTTATTTCTTTATTTTGTTATTTTGTATTTTTAAAAAGGAACGGCTAGGATCAGAATATGACCGTTGGATTATGAGAATAAAACGATTTACTTCCAAGTCTGGCACACAGACTTAACGGTAACTTTGGTTCATGGCATGTGGCTTCGTCTCTTCTTATTTCAAACTTTTATTTATTATTAATCTTTTTTTTTATTGGTTGCCTTCTCTACTTTTATTCAGACGAAATGGTGCGCTCCATAGGCGCGGCCTAACGAGTTTTTGATTTTGTTTTACTTTTTTAAAGTATTAGTATTATCATCAATAATCAGTAATCAAGCTTAAGGTTATTAATATCCGTATTTACAGAGCTAATCATATGCTCTATCTCAGACTAATTTCATTAGGGAGACAAGGACCAGATTCCGTACCGAGAATTATGCTGGCCCGTGACTGTTCTTTCCATTTCAAGTGATTTTATTGGTTGAATATTTTTTTATATTTCATTTATTAGCCTAAGATATTTTTGGAAAGAAAATAATCAAAAGACCTAGCTTCTGTGTTCAAAGTACAACATTTGATTCATATCAAGTTTTAAATAAAAATTGTGTCAATGATTCATGTCAAGTTAGTTAATATAAGTAAACATATTCTCTCCATATCAAATATTCCCTGTGTTCTCAATTGATTCAACTAGACGAACTTGGATTTTTTTTAAACAAGAATGTGATTTAGAATGCGATGTTGTATGCTCTATAGTTTTTTTTTGTATAAATGTTTATAACACTTGAGACCCTTACTTGTTTACTTCCACAATTTCTTACATATGGATCTTCATTTGTATCATTTGCATTTAAATCACTGAGACCCTAAAGGTTAACGTATTACTCCTAGTATATAGTATTATCTATATATTCTTTTTTGAGCAAATTACTCCTAGTATATTTTAAGTTGTAAATTTGAGAGTTTACAACTTTGAAAATTTATGGCACAGAGAACCAAAGAATTGTAATCATTTTACCATAAGCATAAGAAACTATAAACAGTCAATGTTCACGAAAAACTAGGCATACTAAATGCCAGAGAATGAAGCCGTGAACATGGGGGAGCCTCCTAATCATCTTTGTCAAATGAATTAATAATGTCTTAAAGGCATTGTTTTCGTAAACCAAACGCGTAAGAGTTCTGACAAGGAGGGGACCACCTCATTCTCATGCCACTACTCTGATATATGCATGCCTGAGAACGAGATCTGTCTAAAGATGACTTGATCAAGCGATTTGGTAAGTCAAAAGAAATTTCAAATTCAGCCGGAACTGGACCAAACGAAACTAAGAGCACCATTATCACGGGCTCTTAAGCCACGTATCTACTAATTTTAGGTTAAAAAAAAAAGAAAAAATCCATACTATTAAAAATGAAAGCATCTTTGAAAAATTGACTAATAAAAGTTGTGTGCACCCTTCATTAATGGTATTTTGGTAATTTATTTTCGTCCTACATCAATATATATATCAAATGTTACAAATCATATCACATATTAAATATACCCGATGTATTCTCTCTCTTCCCATTAATTACTCTAACTATATTCCATATTATATTTCATACATTTATATTGTCTTATAAACTTTATATTACGGTTTTAATCCATAGATTGACTACATAAATATTTATTATAATATAAATTAATTATATGGTGTTCAAATGCTCTTATACTTATAAATGTTTACATATTTATAAAATAAATTGTAATAAATTGTAATTTTAAATTATAATATATAATTTAATATACTGTATAATAAAATCAAAAAAATATATTGTTTTTATCAAATAAAAATATACTAAATTATATTTTAATATAGTTATTTAGCTATTATATTAAATATAATTTTTATTTTTTTAATATATATTTTAATATTTTACATTAATAAATTGAAGTATGTTATAAACTCTATGAATATATGTTGTCATGAATCTGTAATTCTTTTAATTTATAGTTTATAAAATATTTTTAATTAAGTTATTATATATATATATTATTTATTGTAGTAATTCAATCATGAATATGAATAAATAAATTTTAAAAGAATAAATATTTTTATTTTACTGAAAAAGATATTAAAAGATATTGTCAAAATATTAAAACAATAAATATTTATATTTTACTGAAAAAGATATTAAAACATATTGTCAAAATGCAATATTAGAAAAGATCTTGGTAATATCTTTGATATCTGATTTTTAAAATATTTAAATAATATATTAAGATTGTTATTGAATAATAACTAAATTTGTTATATGCAAGATAATTTCAAATATTTTCGTATTAATTTTTCTTCATATGTCGATATATCATCATTCTCATGGTGACATTTAATGGATGAGATACGTTTTGTTAAGAAAATATTGCAAAAACTATTTTCTATAATTATCTTCGCACTAAAATAAATGAATTGCTTCATCTACAAGTTTATAAATTAACCACAATCAATATTGTAGTTAGTTATCTTTGTTTGGTTTCCATAAATTTCGGTAAGTTACCGTAGTTGTATTACCATTAACTGTTAAACTTTAAACTTCTTAACTAATTCAAAATATCTTCAAGAAATATTCCTTATTTCTCGAAAGAGATATTTTTTAAAATCGTCTAAATATTATTTCCTACATTTGCGTAATCTAAATGTATATCATCCCTACCTATTATAAATATAGCCTCTTTTAACCACTATATTCATCATTAATTGAAAAACTTAAAACAAAAATGGCGAATAATTTGCAGTTGTCGTGATATAAAACCGAGGAAGACTGCATGTCGCATCCAAGTCAAAATCTTTCATACATGGAGACATTACATGAAAGACATAAGGGAGACCATGGAACTAATCCTTTGTGATGCAAATGTAAGTTTATCGTTTTGTATAGATTTATGATTTAGATATCTTCATTTTGTAAAAGTGTAACCTAAATGATAATGTTTTCTAAGAGCGGGTGAAAACCTAAATGATAATATTCTTCCCTATATTTATGGAACAATTCTTCTATTTTTAAAACTATATTATTTTGAATCATAAATGTTAATAATTTTCTTATTGGTCAGTTTTCTCCCATTTTTATAACTAATCTCCATTGTTGTGTATTTATCTAACACGAGTATATTTTTATCTAGATGTTATTGGACAAGTTCAAGACTTGGGTGATCTGGAAACCATAGAGTGTAGTGGTGCGAAACAAAAGAATAAGTTGGAGTTCAGTCTCGTGGAAACCATAAAAAAAGTTTTATGGTTAATATTATAAAGTTAGTCTCCCTACCTATTATAAATTTCTCAAGCGCGGGTCAAAACAAATTGCCGAAACATAAATAAACTATATAATTCGATTAACATATTTATTGGATTTAACTACAAATTTGTAATACAATTTTGGGTATTTTTAATAGTATTGATTTTTCAAATTTATTATAGGTCATGGACCCATCCAATTTTGGTTTCAGTCTAATATGTGTTTTAATTCTTCAAACTCTCACAACACTTAATTTTCTGATTCTCTATTCAACCACAAACTGACTCGGTTATGCAAACTAAATGAAAAGACCATACTAAAACGTTAAATATACATCAAATTTTGCATATAAAACTATCATATAATAGAAATCAGATCATTTTATACATTTTACAACCGAAACAAAATCCGCGCTTCTCAAGCGCGGGTCAAAATCTAGTATGTAATTAAACAAAAGACGTCACTTAATTAAGCAATAGAAACGGTTTTTATAGGACACGCGTCACATTCACCGTTCTCTCTCTCACCGAGTCATCTTCTCCTTTCTTTGTAACTCCTCAAGGACTCTGATTTCATCTGAGATGGCATCAATTCGGCGAAATCACTTGTTGGTATACCTCGATCGTCCATACGAGAACGGAGACGCAACGTTCTCTCCCTCCTCTACATCACCACCCTCTCAGAAGACCACCAGCAACACCCCCGTTCTACCAATTCCTTGCTTTCTTTCTTATTGAATTCCTATTAGGCAACTTTGTTTCTGTGGATCCGAAAGCAATGTTAACCATCCTTATCGGTGGAAAGAAAACTAAAGGTTAGTATCTGTCAACTATATTTTGGTTGAAACACCGTTTGATGTCTGGCATTCCAAATCAAATTCCAGAAAGTGTAATTTGCGTGATTGTAAAGTGCTTAAGAAGCAAACTTTTTTCATGATTTTGACGGCTAATGGCTTTAATGTCTTTGTTAGTTTGGGTCATTGTTAGTTTTGTGGTTTTGTTTTGCTTAGCAGGGTGGTACTATGGGGTCTTTCTCATCAGACATTTGTCGGCTGCTGCAGGTCCGTGATGAGGAAGATGATGCAACCGGAAAACTAGCTCCACCCAAGCATGAGCCCACTGATCAAAATCTCGAAGCTGCAATGGTAAGTTTCTATTTTGATTGAAATTTATTACAGTTTTTTGTGGAGTCCATTGTTGTGTGTCTAATATTAAGATCATGGTGAATTTTGACAGGAATACAATCTGGTCCAGGAGAAGTCAGAACATGGATTACATATCTCTGCTTTCATCCCAACAATCTGCCCTCCACCTTCTGCGTTCTTGGGTCCAAAATGTGCTCTTTGGGATTGCCTTAGGCCTGCTCAAGGGTTCGACTGGTTCCAGGATTACTGCAGCAGCTTCCACTCTGCTTTGCTGAAACCTTATGGCTTGAGCTTGTCTGGATCGATTGTTCAGGTGAAGCGAAGCTGGCAAAGACATGTCTACCGAGAAATGGCCTTGTTTCGAGGTGTTTCTCATCAGTTACTTCAAGTAGAGTTAAAGTTGGAGATATTATAAGAGAAGTAAGAGTGTTCTCAAGTGAAGATGTCAAGAGCTATGCTGAGGTGAGCAATGATTGGAACCCACTTCATTTTGACCAAGAACTTTCCAGAAAAGTCGGATTCGAGGATTTTCTTGTCCATGGAATGCTTGTGTCTTCCATGTTTCCCCACATTATCCTTTCCCATTTCGTAAGTTCTCTCCAGTTTTTTTGTTTGCATTTTATCACTTTCCCACATGTCCTAACAAATATTGCTTTGGTATATAGATTTACAGAAACGTGACTGAATGTTTGTTGGTATTGTTGCAGCCTGGAGCAGTATATGTCTCAAACTCTGCATTTCCGGTCACCAGTTTACATAGGGGATGAAATTCTCGGTTTGGTACAAGTAGGGATGTTAAGTTGGGTAAATTTACCCAGCCCAGCCCAACCCACAAAAAACCCAGCCCAATTTATATCCAACCCACAAAAAACCCATAAGCATCATGGTTAAAATAAAACCTACAAAATAACCCAATAGGGTATAGGTTCACCCATGGGTACCCAAGTGACTAGATCATAAATATTAATACTTATACATAAATATTTATATCTTTTTGCATACATAACCAAATTATACATTTTATATACTAATAAAAAAATAAGTTTAATAGCTATACAAATATTAAAACCACAATTATAATAAATTCATATTTGATCAATTTTCTCAAATTTCTAAATTCTAATGTTGATATAATTTGTTTGCAGGAAGATGCTATTGAAGATAGGACCAGCAATATTTGATATTCGCAACAACTAAGTACTCAACTGTCTAGTTTGCAAAATTCAAAGAAACAATTATTTGTATCATCACCAATATTGAAATAAACAGAGAAAACACACATACATTATTGTTTTGGAAACACATACTAAAGTGAAAACACAATCTCATAACTCTGCTCAAAGTCTCAAACTCACCATTCACCAACAAGCTGCAAACTGCAAAGTGAACAAAAAAGAGACCACAAAGATGGTGAATAAGCTGCAAACTGCAAAGTGAACAAAAAAGAGACCACAAAGATGATTCAAATTGAATGCCAAAGCTAAAGATATCAAACTATAAACATTAAGTGTCATTCCACAAACAAATTGCAAGACATTGTACTTATGAGAAGACTTGACAATTCTCAATACCTACACCTACGGCATGTGTCGATAAAACATGTAGTAAGAACCAAGCTTTCAAATTTTATAAAACAGTATATACTTGATGGGTTAAACTAACACAAGTGCAAGAGCCGTACAAGCCACAACTTTAAGAGAAACCAAGAACAGTACATGTAAGCTAACTTACTCAACCCATTTGAAATACAAAAAAAAAGTTAGTATTTTGTTATACTTTATCATAACTAGATCCTCAAGAACCTTTGTCAGTGTCACATTCTCAACAAAATGTATGAAGAATCACAGTGAACTTGTTGCTCTTGAAGGTGAAGCTACTGCAATTTTATCAAGTCTGGAGATGCTACAACCAAGTCCTTCAGAATGATAAAGAAACATAATCTTAGATAAGTTTTTATGAGTTTTTTCTTCATCATTTCCTATCCTTTTTGATAATTTTCGTAATTGTTATCTCACTTCCCTTTCTATAGGCTTTTTTGCCGTGATATTTAAGATTCTTCAATTGCTAGATAGAGAACAAAGGTGTAGTGTGTTGAATGTATTTTAAAAACCTATAATTAAGAGACTTGTAATAAACCACCTAAATGTTTAAATTCTTTCTAAGTCTCTTAACTCACTTTTACACTTTAAAAACTATTAAAATTTAATTAAGAGATTCTTTAAGGGATTTAAATGATACTTTAAGATAATTAGGCCAGAATTGACGTGGGAAAAATACTGAAGGGACTACACATATTTTCAGAAAATAATAGATCTCAAATACATAATGAAATCCCTCCCTTCTCACTTCAAATTCAATTGCACCACATCTCTATTAATCCATTGGAGTTTCTTTTATAACATACAATCCATGTTTTTTTTTTCAAATGAACATGGCTATGAATTGAAATCCGTACAACATCTGTTTGGATTTTGATTGCTTTGAATCTGTTTCCGGCATACCGAAGAAACGAAGTGCACACCTACATGTACATTTCACTAAGGATCCACCATCATCTCAGACAAAAACTTAAGCTTATAACATTTTTTTCAAAATGTGTAGTTTGTCGACTAACCTATTAATTTCTACACAGAAAATTTATAGTCAAAAACTTCAATAGTAAACATTAACTTGTACTCTTATAAGCAAATAGCTAATTAGTATTTTGTCCGGTATTCTACCAAATTAACTCGGTTTATTATACAGATAAGCAAAATGTTCACAAAACTAATTTCTAATTAATTTCTCTATACTCTCCCAGCAATAGATTTATCGTTAGGTTCAGTATAGAAAAGACAATTTTCAACAAGAAACCAAAACACTAAATTTGATGTAATTTCATCTTTAACATAACATTAAAATTGACATCATCCCACCAAGTTTGCTGTAATATGTATATTATTATATCAGATACCAAATTTGATATAATAGTATAGTTCATTTAATAATATAGTTCAATTTAATAATACTATTCATCACACTAAATCTATAAAATATGTATTTTATAATGTTTCATTTAATAATATAGTTCAATTACTATCAAATTTGTAACTAAACATAAATTATTGTAATTTTTTTAATTTAGTTTCACATAATTAAACAAACAAAATTACTAAATAACTATTATCATTTATCACTTATAAATAATAAAAAGATAAATAATAATATAAATGTGATAATTATTTATTATTTACAAATAATAAAAATTTAAAAAAATTAAAATTGATAACATTAATAATATTATTTTTGGTATAAATTTTATGTTATTGCTAAAGATGACAAAAAGTTATAACACCAAATTTAGTACTCCATGCCTAAAGATAGTTTCGAACATTACTCCTTTGTAGCTAATGATTGACAGATCATGTGTGATAGACGGTGAAGATGGAAATAGCACAATCAAGATTCCGTCCGTTGTTCTCTTTCATCAACGTGGCAATATTAAAATCCCGCCACAGTGCGAATTTCAATCTACTTTTATTTTAAAATTAAAATCCATTTTTTTTTTTTTAGTTTATACCGCATCAACAAGCAAACACTTCAACAAAAAAAAAATCAAGGTAAACAACTCGCTCCTACCGACTCAGTTAGAGTCTCAAACGATTCTTACCCTGACCCAGAACTCGAGATGAAAGGCGGTCAAACCAAATCCGAAGCGACGAGCACCGATCAGAGGTCTCTCTCTCGCTGTCTCTTCGCTTTCTCTTAATCTGAGATCTAATTTTTTATTTGTTTCAATTTCTCCAACAGACTCAAAACCAGAGGAAGGAAGAAGAAGACGCCGACGAAAGACCCAAACAAACCTAAGAGACCTCCAAGTGCCTTCTTCGTCTTCCTGTAACAACCTCACATTAACCTCTTCACATCTCCTCACTAATTTTCAATTTTAAACTAATTAAGTTTCGGTCACAGAGATGATTTCCGGCGGGAGTTCAACGCGGCGAACCCTAACAACAAGTCCGTCGCCGCCGTAAGTAATAATATCACAAAATCTGTAGAGTTTTCCACATTCTCAGATCTGTAAAACTAATAATAATCATATCTCTCTCTCTCAGGTTGGTAAGGCTGCTGGAGTTAAGTGGAAGTCTATGAGTGATGAAGTAAGTATTGATATTGTTTGATTGGTCCTTGTGGATTTGTAACTGAAAGATTCTTTTTTGTTGTTGTTGTTTTTTGAATCTGTGATGAAGGAGAAAGCTCCTTATGCTTCCAAGGCGGAGAGCAGGAAGAGTGAGTATGTCAAGAGTATGCAACAGTACAACATGGGACTGGTATAAATAATAACTCTCTCACTGATTAGCTTTCACTTTCTCTAGAGAGAGAGTGTGGTGTTCTTATGTGGTGTGATACTGTGTGTTTAGGCTAGTGGAACCAATAGAGGTGAAGATGATGAATCCAAGTCTGAAGTGGACGAAGCTGGAGGAAGCGAGGAGGTTTTGATTCAAGACTTTAATACTTTTTTTTTTATTGATTTGTCTTTTACATGTATGTGACATTTTGGGCTCTCTTTTTAATTTTCGCAGGAGGAGGAAGAAGACGACGATTAAGGAGGGTTGTAGTTGCTGCCATTGACTGACTCAGATTTGAGGATGGAATTAGCAAATTTAATTAGATGTTGTGACTCTTAAACTGAAAAAACTGGTTATGCTCTGTGTGTTTGTAATATTAAGAACCTTCTTTGCTTCTCTTCTCTGTCTTTAGCTCAGTTGTACTATGGATTTAATCTATGCCTTTGACTTCTACTTATGGTATTGTTGACTTCTCTTTGACTTTTGTCAACTTGTTGTGCTCTCTTCTGGTAATGGTATATTGTTGTTTGACTCTTGTGTAGGATCATTTTACACGGGAATTTTGATCGAACGTTTGGTTGGGACAGAATCTATTTACTGAGATGGGTCGTACAGAAGCATTCATGGTTATTTTTTGTTCTGTTTGTTTTATGGGGTGAGTTTCATAAAACTGATTAGTATATGTTACATTACTTTCCAGAAAAGTGGGATTTTCTCATCTTCAATGTTGGATAGTGAGCTAGCTCTATATGGGTAATCTGGTTTATAGTTTACTTTTTTTTGGCTCGATTGTTCTGGTTTTATGAGTTATGACTATCTATTTTATATAAATGGAAATCAAGTAGATACACCATTTGGTTTCGTTCGGATTGGTCTTTAATTTGAACTAGATTTTGAACCCGCACATCCGTGCGGATAATTTTTTCATTTTATAAAAATATAACAAAATCTTTTAAATATATGATTTACATTTTATTGTTATATATTGTATAACTATATAATCTTATTATTTTAATTATTTTATATAATATATTATTGTAAATATTTTTTTAAAAAATCATATATATTTTTTTAGATAATGTATTTGTTGTGAGTTACAAAAATATATGTTAACATTTTTGTATAAAAATATTACATGATTCAAAAAAATTAATATGTTTTAACAGTGAATAAAAGAAACTTTTAAAATTAAATATTTTTATTTACCAATTTAATATATTTTTATATTCATTTCACATAGCATTTTTATTTTAGTATAAGATAGAATATCATTAAATTATAAAATATACCAATTTTTATCTTTAATTAACATTAATATATATATATATACATATATGTATGTATATATTAATCACGAAATTAAATAATATATATTTTATAAAAATATTTAAACTTCTTAGTAAGATTCTGTTAAATATTTTCTCAACAGATTTTATTATAAATGAAATTAAAATAGAAATTTATAGTCAAATTTGATTTATTTACTTGATTAATATAAATAATCAAATATGTCATATTAATGAAATGGTCCAAAATGACTTTTGTGTAGTAGATTTAAATGGTACTTCTCTTTTAATATAGAAGATTTTGTTTGAATTCAATGTTTAATTAAATCTAAAAGATAAGTTCATACTATGTAAAAATGTCTGTTAACCGGTTAAATATTTTGTTTGGATTCAATATTTGACAAACCGTATTGTTTTTGGCGCTGGTTCTGTTATCTCCTCTTCTCCAAAAGCTTGTTCGCTTCTAACAGATTTTCAAAATAACCATCTTTGATCTCCCTTAGCCATGTATTCCAAAAACTTTATGCCATTCATGGCAGTCATGCTTACAGAACCCGAGAACGACAGCATTGAATGTTGACGAATGAGGAAAGTAACCTGCTGTCACCAAATCGGTTATAAGCTCAAGCGTTTCTTCCATGTATTCTTACATCCTCCACCTTCCTTGCATAAATTTGTCAAACTTAAAAGCTTCTCTCAACAGCCCTTGGAAACAGTTTATCCATCTTATGCAGGAATGCAAGAGCTATCCTCCTAACAGCTTTCCTTGTAAAAGCCATAGATACCACTAATGTAAGGATGATTCTGGCACCATGAGTGGTTTCACTGTCTTGCATCGTTACATCATATCATTAGTCCTCCCTCTTCCTGAGAGCCCTTTTATCAGAGTGTTAAATGTAGCAAAGTTCCTTCCAACCGAATCACTTTTCATATTGTTTGCAGTGTCAAGAGCTGAATCCAACATTCGAACTCAAAACCCAGCAATCAACAAATTGTATGTTTCCACATTGGGCAAGTAGGCTTTACTCTCTATCTCGTTAAAGAAGCCTAGAACCAACTCTTACTTTCCCTGGAGCACAATACCCCTTAACCGAAGTGTTGCAAATACAAAATATCGATGTTACTTTCCACTCTAGAACCTTTGAGTGCCTCAGATACACGGCCTTCATTGCAGAGAACTTCCACCACCTTAGTTACCGAGACAATATCAGGAACAAAACCCAAACTGATGCATATCTCCAGAAGCACTATTGACTGAATCAACTTCCTCTCGTTGCACTAAGCAGGTATCAAGATGTTTAAAAGTCACATCATCTGGTTCAGTCGTCTCACTCATTAAACTCCTGGCTCTCCCAACTTTCTCCTTCTTACAACGAGCATGAAGCAAGGTGTTATATATCTAAACAGCTGTAAATGCAGAACTTACGAATACAGATATTTATTGAAACAGACGTTTTACATGAGATATATATACATAGACTAGTCACACATGTTGCAATTGGTCTAGATAGCAGTTAATTTATGTAATATTATATAACAATAACAAACATGGATTACAAATAAGCAAACCGGTTATTTATATGTGGTTGCATTTGAAGTACTTTCTGAATACTTCTTCTTCCTTGCAGTGCATAGAGATGACTCTGTATACTTCAATCAGCAATTTCGGAAACCGAACAGAGAAGTACTGGTCGAATCCTTCTGGAACCGTTCCAACAAGTTCCTAAGACATTAAGAGTTTCAATATAACTAGTTTAAGCTCATGTGTGTTAACAGTCTCTGAGGAAGACAAACCTGGATCTCTGAAGGAAGTTCTCGGTGATGATTCAATTTGTTTCTGATGACACGTAACAGATCACGAATACTGTCGTATTTGTAACGCCTGTAGCTTCCGATGTTTGTAATGAAGATAGGTTCTAACTTTTCATCCCACTTCCCTCCTATAGCCACTGGAGCTGTATTCTCCATTGCTTTTAAGATCTCAGAATCAGCCTCTCTGTTTTCAAGCTCTACTCGGTCACTAGCATCCCGAAGAAAGGATAGTCTCATCTCTGAGTTCCAGAACATGGGATGGAGTAGCACTTCAGTTGCACTCGGACTGCAAATATCATAAGAAATTGACTTTTGTTGAGTGAATTTGGCATCGTTGAAGAAGAGAAGAAAACGTCATTACCGTAAATCGGGGTTTGGATTCAGTAAACGAGAGATCAGGTCCGAAGCCTCGGGAACATGCGCTACTAAAAATAAGTCAACTTTGTTGTTCACGATATTGACATCACGTTCAAGATCTTCTCCAAAGGGATGCTTACAACCAGTTATGGAGTAAAAGAGGATACATCCTAAACTAAACATGTCCACAGCACGAGTTTGGCGACCTTGAAGAAGCTGTTCAGGTGCTTGCCAACCAGAACTACCACAACCTGCAGGTTTTAAACAGAAATGTTTATTACAAGTAGTTTGAAAATCGTTTCATAAGCAACATATTCAGCCAACAATCATCCACCCCATTTACACATTACACTAGCCAGCATTTCCTGGCCAACCTAAGCCACACTATGTAGTTCTGCTCTTGCGTCAAGAGTACGGGTAACAAACAAAGACAGAAGAACACAAAAAAGCTAACCTGTGGCAAAATGACCCAATGATGACATATCCCCAGTTAGACGCTTGCTAATGCCCATATCAGAAAGCTTTGCACTCATAGTCATCCCTTTACTTATCAATACATTTTGTGGTTTCAAGTCGCGATGAACTATTCCCAATTCATGCAAGTGGGCAAGCCCAAATACTATATCCCTGCATGAAAACACAAACAATATGAAGAATATAAGTTTCAGAATGTAAATCAGTAAACAAAAGATTAAGCTAATCTACATTTTATAAGACCACATAGCCTTAGACTTATCCAGACCATCTAAACAAGGTTGGTATTATTGATGTTCAAATGAAACATAAGACATTTCTTAATCCAAGAATATTATGACATATGCATAAAGTATGAAGCCCAATTAACCTCATTAATTTAAGCATGAGAGGTGACGGGTGGCCTCCCACTTTCCACAGACTGTTTCCTTCCATAACTCCCTCCAGAGAATCCAGTTTGATCTCATACGCAGCTAGTGCTTCAGTAGAATCGCTATTTTCCAATACTTTTGTCATTGAGAAATTTAAATAGGTTTTGATCAAATCATCTAAACTGCACGTGCATCGCTCGAGAGAAAGGTAAACAAAATCTCGGTCGTACTCTACACCATACCACCGAATGATGTTTGAGTGTTGGTCAGATGCAATGAGGTTTTGAATCTCCTTGAAAGCAACCTCATGATGGGATCGAACAAGGCGTTTTACAGCTACTGGCCGGCCTTCATAAACACCCTCAAATACCACAGTCCCATTACTTCCCTTTGCAATTTCTTTATTTGACACAAACAACTTACCAATCTTTCGCCCATCACCTGCACCATTTAAAAGGTTATTGAAGCCTAGCAACATTTGACCTCCTTCAATGAGCTCAAATTCTGTATGCCTATCCTTCCCTGATTTACGGTTCTTCTTCTTTTTGGAAGGTCCAGATTTTGAATTCAATTCACCGCCTGAATATCCTTTCACGAAAACAGAGATAACAGCAGCCAGAATAAATAAAGGGACCAATAATTTTGCCCGCGACCACTCAGAGTTTTTCCCAAACACATCACGTTCCCATAACTTCCTTGATTCTCTGGTTGCTGTAGAGGGCAACATTTTCGCTTCATATGCACCTTCAGGTTTCGCTTGCTGATCTCGAGGCATCCTAATATAAACTCCTGATTTAATAAGGGCACGGATGTCAGTGTGATTACCACCACATCGCAACGGCATATAGATTCCAGTGAATATTTCAGGACCGAGATTTTTGTCTTTATTGAAAGCTAGATCACAACGCAAGTCAGCTCTGAAGTGAGAAACCGTCACGTTCCACACAGGCTTCCCTGAGGTCTTATCAAAATGCTCCAGTTTGGAATCTGTCCGCGTGATAAGAAGCTGTATGCTGGCCAAATTATCAGCGCTAGTGGGCTTCACCATGACATTAGTGTTGTTGTTATCTGCAGAAGACTGGGTGGTTCCATAAACATGGATAAGCCTCCCTGATAGACCATCAACCAAATAAGTGGTAGATGATTTAGAGCCAAGAGTCAAACCATCATCACTCACACGTGGCATCTCTTTCATCAAATCCTCCATAGTCTGCATTTAATGTATAGGTTTCATGTTTTTCATAAAGGATGCTTTATTGTACAAAGGTTTTTTTTTTGAGTGAATAAATTTAAAACTCTTTCAAAAAAAAAAAGATGCATATGAAACTATCAGAAGAATTTTTTTATGCATACCTTTCTAGTATAGCCATCATCAACCATGGTAACATCTGAGTTGTCTATGTACTCAACAACGAAAGCTTTACTAATCTCAGTAGCGTTTCCTGTGTTGTTGACAACGCTTAGAGGAGCTTGATACGAGGAATGAAGGGGTGATCCTGATGAGAAAGACCAGATTGGTTTCCTTGATGGATGCATAAGTAAGGAGACTTTCCCAGAAAGATCAACAACAAGCTCCGTGTTTGCCTCTTCACTGATTAACCAATAAGAGAAATGAAAAAGGTTACACACCAACTCTTCACAATCAATACTCCACGAGGTTTTGATGCTAAACCACAACCAATAAGTGGAATCAAAAATTCAATTTCAGAAAGCTAAATTGAATTATCAGCCAAGTACAGAATCTAAAAAACCTAATCAATACGCCGTCGCCGCGTGGTTTTTGATTCTAAACCATACCTAAACTTAGGTTTAAGAAGAGAGAGAGAAGCTTACTCAGACTGTAGCAGCGATCTGCCAGCGACACGTCCATATACGGAGATATGATTGGACGACTCGGCGGCGCAAGAAGGTGTCCATGGTGACAGTAGCAATAATAAGAAGAAGAAGAGATGGGGGAGGAAGTGGCATGGTGGCATCGTCCTCCGGGGCATATGGATCGGTTGATCTGTGAGGGAGAGAGGAAGGAGATGATAAGGAAGGGGGAGGTGGGAGATGAAGATAGGGGGGTTTTGGAATTGACTTGTGGATAAAGTCAAGAGCCAAGAGGGAGAGAGAGATGCGAAGCTTCGTCTGAGACTGCGGTTTTGGGATCTCCGTGCCGTCCCGTTTCTTTCTGATTCGCCCCCACCCTTACTCCCAACTAGAGGTGTCAAAATGGATAATAATTAGTGGATTGATCCAAACCAAACCAATCCACGGTTTTAATGGACTAACAATTTGGATGTTAATGGATTAATGGTTTTTATGGATTAGTGGATTTAGTGAGTTGGATTAGTATTGGTTTGGATCAAAATGGGTTTATGGATTATCCAATCCAACCCATTTTTTTCCACATAATCTTATTGTTTTCAAGGTTTTAATCTCTTTCTCTTTTTTTTTTCTTCTCTCACGGACTCTTTGATCTCTCTCTTTTTTATCTCTTTTCATCGATCACACCTTCTGGGTCATCGATCACGACCATCAATTTCATCTTTCTTGTGAGTCGGAAATTATAATTCTTCAGTTTGGCCTTTGGGTCACTGATTTTTTTGTTGTTTAATCTGATCGAGTTTTATGGATCCGATCTGATCGCGTTTTATTTTGGATTGTATTAGGTTGAATCTGTATTGCTTTGATTGTCTCTGTATATGGGTTATTGAGTTCTATGATGATTTTGAACTTCCATAGCTTCCAATACGCAGTTAACTTCCGTAGCTTCCGTATTGAGCTTTATTTGTTTATTGCTTTGATGGTCTATGTATATGCATTGTATTTAAGTCTTTTGAGTTGCGATGTATGATGTATCTATATCGAGACGTTGTTGACGCTTGCTGATAAACTTGTTTATAGAGAAGCTTTGTCTTATGGCTTTCGTTGTGTGTTTTAACTTCTTTAGAGTTTTTCGTTGTGTTAGATTGTGTCATAGAGCTCTGTTGTGGGCTCTCTTCTATTTTAACTGTTATCAGAGAAAGTTATGATTCTTAGTTGTCGGTTCTCTTTGTTGTGGCTGGTTATGACTTGGTTGGATTTTGTATAATTAATGGCTGTCCTGTCCTGCTTATGGAAACTCTATTTTTTAACTCTAACGGAACTTACTGTGTAAACTCATTTAGTTTTGCTTCTGTGTCATTTAGTTTAATACCTTATGGTTTGTATTGACTTGATTGATGTCTGGTACTGTTGTTGATTGTTTGAGAGAGTCTCGATGATCTTTTGCTCTATGATCATATGATTTTCTAAAGGAATATGGTTATGTTATCAGAAAAAATTTGAGTACGAGTAGGAGGTGAAGAGAAGTACGAGGATGAGGTGAAGAGGAGTACAAGAATCTCAGAAACTCAATTTTCTCATCTCACTAGATTATCTGTTTTTTTAGTTTCAAAATTTTCTAAGAACATGAAAATACTATTGTGAAATATGTCTTTATACATTTCCTAGGTATTAAATTTTATGATTTTTCATTTATAAACTTAAAGAAATATAAAAAGTTGTATGAATTAAGATATTATTGGATAATATTATTACTATACAATAATGAGTCAATCCATTAAAACCACTAAATCAATAATCTAAATGGATTAGGGACTGAACCAAACCATTAGGTAAGTGGTTTGGGTTGAACCATAACCAATAGAAGTCTGGGTTCATATGGATATGGTTTGGTTTGGGTTGGTTTACCCATTTTGACACTTCTATAATATAATTGCTAATTTATTAATTTTTAAAAAGAATTGAAATGTTTTTTTTACCTCAAACAAATCTTTGGCAACAAAATCTATAATTTCTGTAATTTTGTCAATGTCATCATTTACTTTTCTTAATTTTTTTGCCCTTCACTTGCATTTGAGGTATTATGTATTGGTCACAATTTACTTAAATTTTATACTATAAATGATATATATTTTAATTAATAATATCTTTTTGGGAAAGAATGAATAGTATTTAATGGATCATCTTGATATATTTTGGAAGCGAATGTTATGTTTAAATAAAGGTAATATAATTCATGTTGTTAATTTTTAAAATTTTATTGTTAAAATTTATTAGTAATTTATTAATATGATATATGCTTTTTTAATATAAACCTGAATATGTTTTGGGATTCACACTTGTTATTATTAAAGTAACACCATATATTTCCCTATTTTTCATATGTTTGAGTACATATCTACCACATTGTCCCACATAGTAATACACACTTTGTTTCCCCTGTTATATAGCTATTATTGTAAAAAATTAATTATTTTTTAAAAAAAAATGTGACTATAAAACTTTTTGAAATAGATGCCTAAGTTAATATAAATTTTAATTTTATGTACAATAGCAAACATATATAGCAACTATTGTATAATTTGGATGTGGTAATTGATTGTTTATAAAATATAATAAATTATGGTTACTAACACTTTTAATTAATGGTCCAAGTTTATTCTTCTTTGTCCAATACCTGATACTGTATTAGCTGTATTTATCTTTTCTTCAACAGTTACATACACAAAATCTGCATATATGAATTTACATATAAACATACAATTTATATGTTTATAACTTTTGATTATGTGTATTATACCATTACCATCATAAGATAAATTCTTGTCTGTAATTTTCATAAGTTGATAATAATCACGGAATCTGAATTTTTCGCAATTTATTTGTATAGTTTTTTCTCATATCGGTGTTATCCATGAATTTGCACGCAACCATATATTAAAAAAAGGGTCTGAAATTTTATATTCCACCTACCTTCCCTATTTCAAAATCATTGAAGATATATATTTTGCCTTCTAAAAGCTCTAGAAAAAATTAATGAATGTGACGACCATATATTGATCTCATAATGGTTGAATCCTATATTTCATTAGATTGCCAAAATTCTTTGAAGGTTTCATGTTTTATATTAGAAAAATCACAAACTATTAAGTCATTTATGTTATTAGCAGATGGTAATTCTTATTACATTTTCTTTTTATCATATCCTACCACATAAATTTTCATTTCCGCATTATTTACCACTTTCATATTTATTTCTAACTTTTCTAAATATTTCTAGTACATTATTTTCGTCAAACATTTTTACTAGTGATGATAATATGTGTGTATCTACTGATTCTTTTTCTTCTCTGTTCATGATTGGAAATTTGTTTTTTTTCATTGGATGTGTCAAATATATACAACTGTAAAAATTTGGCTTTCTCTCCATCCACATATAAAAGTGATCCAATACTGTGATAATTATCACCATGAACCTTAAAGCAAAAAGGATCACCAGAATTTAGTATTGAACAATCTATTTCAGCACCCATAGAACACATAAACTATAAAAAATTAAACACTCTAATATTACTCTTACATGAATGATCACATATCAGATTTCTCAATACTATAGGTGGCTCACGAATCTTGGGTAATTTGATGTGTCCTTGTTTACAACAAATAGAAATTAATGGAAGTTTTGGTTAATCAATCTTTTTTGGTACTTTCGGCAAGCCATACGAACGCATTACAATCACCGCAACGCATTAGTTGGTTTTGTATATTATTACTTTCGACCATTATTTCTTTTTCTATTTACCAATAAATGAAAACGGTTATTGGTTCTCGTAAAATTCAAAACATTAAAATTACTAACCAATGATTCATTGATATCTTTGTGTGTCTGATAATATACTTTATATTTTCATTTTCTTGCATCTGTAAAAAAGTACTCCCTCCGTTTCAGAATATTTGTCATTTTAGGCTTATTTTTTTGTAACAAATTAAGTGTCGTTTTAGAGTTTCGAGGAAAAATTTATTAGTTTTATATAATTTCTATTCGTTGAAAAGTGGTTAAGTGTATAGGTAATTGTGTTTTTATCTTGAAAATATGTAAAATTAAATGTTTCATTAATCTGTGTGAAAAAACCTAGAATGACAAATAAAGTGAAACGAAAGCAATAATAATTAAATAATATCTTATGTCGACGGTACATGGTAGAAAAACAAAATAAAACAAACTTGTGGATAATTTTGACAGGTAAGTTTGTTTTCCGCTTTTCAGCTTTTTCAACATCCATAATAATATCAATAAATTCTGAAGAGTGATGGAATACGATTATTATTACATATAAAATAATATTACGTTTGCAACACTTTCAATATGGTCGCACCCTTTCGGTAATATTATATTCTGACTCCTTCAGAAACTTTATATTCGTACCTTTTTGGTGACGTTACATTTTCCCCTTTCGGTGACATTATATTCACACTCTTTTGGTGACGTTACATTCACACTCTTTTGATGACGTTCCATTCGCACTTTTTCAGTTACGATACATTCGCACTTTTCGGTCCCGAAGCGTTAACATTCTTTCGGTCCCGAACCGTTAACACCCTTTCGGTCCCGAACCGTTCGCACCCTTTCGGTCCCGAACTGTTCGCACCTTTTCGGTCCTGAACCATTCGCACCCTTTCGGCTCCGACACATTCGGACCCTTTCGGTCCCGGCACCGAAAAGTCCCGGCACATTCGCACCCTTTCGGTGCCGACATGTTCGCACCATTTTGGTCCCAACACGTTTGCATCCTTTCGGTCCCGAAACATTCACACCTTTCGGTCCCGAACCGTTCGCACCCTTCGGTCCCGAATCGATCGCACCTTTTTGGTCCCGCCACCTACGCACCCTTTCGGTCTAGACACATTCGCACCCTTTCGGTCCCGACACATTTGCACCCTTTCGGTCCCGACACATTCGCACCCTTTCAGACGCGAATCGTTCGCACCCTTTCAGTCCTAAACCGTTCGCACCCTTTCGGTCCGTACTGTTCGCACCTTTTCGGTCCTGAACCATTCGCACCCTTTCGGCTCCGACACATTCGGACCCTTTCGGTCCCGGCACATTCGCACCCTTTCGGTGCCGACATGTTCGCACCATTTCGGTCCCAACACGTTTGCATCCTTTCGGTCCCGAAACATTCGCACCTTTCGGTCCCGAACCGTTCGCACCCTTCGGTCACGAATCGATCGCACCTTTTTGGTCCCGCCACGTACGCACCCTTTCGGTCTAGACACATTCGCACCCTTTCGGTCCCAACACATTT